CCACAAAAAAGGAAAAGAAAGTAAGGAAAAAAAAAAACCCACAAAAGGCAGAAAAAGTATGAAAGATAAAAATATGAACAAAAAATAAGAGAAATAATACAAAATTGCAACAAATAGGGCAGATATTAATCCAACTATACCAATCATCATCTTAAGTATCAATGGTCTAAATACATCAATTAAAATAAAGAGATTGTCAAAGTGCATAAAAAACCAAGTCCCAACTCCATGTCATCTAAAAAGAAAACCACTTTAAGTATAAAGACATACACAAAAGTAAAAGGGTATACAAAGATATACCACACTAATTCAATGAAAAGAAAGTGGAAGTAACTATACTAAATTCAGACAAAAACTTGTATTCTCAAGAGGATGAGAAAATAAGTCACATTATTGGGAGAAAATATTTGCAAAAGACACATCTGATAAAGGGCCAATTTAAAAAATGGATCAAAGACCTGAATAAACAGACCATCAAAGAAGATATGACGATAGAAAATAAGCATATAAAATGATGTTCAATAGACATTAATAAGTACTTGCTAATTAAAACAAAATTAGCTACCACTACAAACCTATTAGAAATGCCCAAATCCAAAACACTTCAATCCCAAATGCTGGCAAAGATACACAGTGTGTTAGTTAGCTTTGTATTATTGTGACCAAGATACCTGACAAGAACAACTTATTGGAGGGAGTTTATCTTGGGCTCATGGTTTCACAGGTTTCAGTCCATGACTGGCCAACTCCATTGCTCTGGGCCCTAGTGAGGCCAAACACAATGGTAGAGGGCAAGGTGGAAGAAGGCTGCTCAGCTCACTATAGAAGCAAGAAGAGCCAAGGGCAAGCGACACACATGACCCTTAAAGGCATGCCCCAGCTGACCTCTTCCTCCAGCCACGCCCCACCTGCCTGTGTTACCACCCAGTTGCTCCATTTAAATTATTAACCCATCAATGAATAAATCCATGATTAGGTCACAGCTCTCATAATCTCATCTTCCATCTCTGAACATTCCTGCATTAAAAGAGGAGCTTTTGAGGGATATCTCATTCAAATTGTAACACAGAGCAACAACTCACTCACCTTCTTTGCTAATGGGAACAGTCACTATAAAATATGCAGTTTAGTAGTTCTTAGAAAACTAACCATAGCCTTATCATATGATTCAGTAATTGTACTCTTTGGTGTTTATCCAAACAAACTGAAAACTTATGTCACATAAAAACCTGTACATGGATGTTCACAGTGATTTTATTCACAATTGCCAAGATTTGTATACAACCAAGATGTCCTTCAATAGGGAGTAAATAAACCATGGAACAGCCACACAATAAAATTATTCAGTGATAATAAAATACATGAACAATCAAGTCATGAAAAGACATGGATGAAACTTAAGATGCATATTATTAAATGAAGGAAGCCAATCTGAAAAGGCTATATATATTATATGAATCTACCTATCTGACATCCTGATATACAGAGAGCAAAATGATTAGCAATGATTGTCAGGGTTTACTGTGGGGAGCACAAAAGATTTTTAGGGCAGAAGAACTATCTGGAAGGATAATACAATGGAGGACATATGTCATCATGTTTGTTAAAACTAATAAAATGTAAAATACCAAAGGGAACCCTAAAATATAGTATGGTGATACTGTGTCCATGTGGGCTCACTGATTTGAACAAATGTACCATTCTGGTACATTTTGTTGATAGATGGGGAGGCTGTGCTTTGTGTGGAGAGAGGGAATATATAGGACTTCTGTATCTGCCCCCCTGCCCCCCCCCACCCGTGAGCCTAAAGATGCTTTAAAAAAATACAGTCCATTCTAAAAACACACTGTGTTATGTATTTAATACACTATGATTATTTAATCTATTTTAACATTAAACTGGTATAAACAGGTTTGGGCATAAATACAACTGACTTCAATATGCATACAAATTTAAATGGAGGAAGTGAAAGCACAAAGCTTGCTAGAGCGCGTCTACCAGCTGTGAACATTTAGCTAAGAACATTCAGCAGGCTGTGGGCCCTCGTCAATATGTTTTACAGTGGGAATGAGAACACTGGCTAATCCCACCAGGCAGTTAACTGGAGTTCAGTTAAGTGAAATTCAGTTAATAACTTTTTCACTACAGGGTTTTATATAGGAGATAAGAGGGAAAAAGATGAGAGGTATTCTGGGAGTAAGTATTTACTTTTTGGGGGAGAGTTGGGAGAAGGGGAGATGGTTAATATAATAAGGCTCTTGAACTGAAAATTTAAGAGATGGGCATAAGGAGGTCTGTTTGGCTGGGGGCTAGGTGGAGTGGGCAGAAAATATAGCTCTTTATTCTTAGAGTTTAGAGCTCAGGCTCCTAGAACTATGACTATTACTGATTTTTTCAAAATATTGGTAGGATAGCCTAGGAACTATAGGGAAACTGATTCATTCATTCAACAAATATTTATTGTGTCTCTATCATTCTAGGCATTTTCTAGGCACTGAGGATACATCAGTGATTAAAACAGGAAAAATTCCTGCCCTCACAGGGGTCACAAGTACAAGGGACAGACATAAAAACAACAAATAAAATGAATAATAATACATAGCGACAAGTACTAAGAAAAAACTATAGCAGGGAAAAGAGGATAGAAAGAGTTCAAGGGAAGGAAGTGTCTGTAATTTTATATACAGAGGTCAAGAAAAGCTTCAACGAAGTCATCTTTTGGGGAAAGAGTTAAAGGAGATTCAAGAGGGAACCATGCATAGATGTGGGGAGACAGCAGTCTAGCAAGTGGGATGCAGACAACTAATACCAAGGACTGTGCTTGGTGTGATTCAATGAGCTGGCAAATGTGGTTGGATTGAGCTAGTCTAAGAGTTAACTGGGGTACAGACTATGGAAGGCTCTGTAGGTTTTGGAAAGGATTTTGGCATTTACCCTGAGATGAGAAGCTCCTAGGAAGTTTTGAGTAGATGAAGCATGAGATCTAACATTTAAAAAAAATATTTATTTTTTAGTTGCAGTTGGACACAAGACCTTTATTTTGTTTGTTTATATGTGGTGCCGAGGATTGAACCCAGGGCATCCCACATGCTAGGTGAGCGCTTGACCGCTGAGTCACAACCCCAACCTGGGATCTAACATTTTTATAGGATTACTGCAGTTGTTCTTTTGAGAACAGACTGAGAGGTGGAGAGGGAAAAGGGTAAAAGTGTGGAGATCATGTGGGAAGTTTCAGCAATGATCCAGCTGAAAGTGAATAATAGCTCAGACCAGAGTGGTCATAGTGGAGGTGGTGAGAAGTGGTCAGATTCTTGACATTCTGAAGGGAGAGTCAATTTCTAAGTTTAAAGTAACTGAACAAAATTAAGGAATAAAATCTGTTAAATGAGCTGGGTGTGGTGGCGTATACCTGTAATCACAGCAGCTCGGAAAGCTGAGGCAGGAGAATTGTGGGTTCAAAGCCAGACTCAGCAAAAGGAAGGCGCAAAGCAACTCAGAGACCCTGTTTCTAAATAAAATACAAAATGGGGACTGGGGATGTGGCCCAGTGGTTTCGTGCCCCTGAGTTCAATCCTTGGTACCATTAAAAAAAAAAAAAAGTTAAATGAGGCCTTCAAATGCATTTAGCTGCTTTCTTAGTGATAATAAAGGTTGGGTTCTACTGAAAACATACTACTTGTAATCTTTTTGAAGCTAAATATAGTGAATTTTTTTTTGCCCATAAAAGACATAATTAAAAATTCAGCCCCCACCTAATGCAAATGCCTAAAGACTTTACATTTCAGTAACATTTTTAAAAAAATCACCTTTACAATGTAATCAAGATTGTGCTTTGTGTCAAGTTGTAGCTTGTTGCTTTTCTTTACAATCTCTTTGGTTGGGAGACATTATTATTCTCAAAAAACAAGCAGGAAGAGGAAGAGGACAGAGTTAGAAACAAACATAAATCTTCTATCTTTGTATGATGTTTTTGAAGTTTTAAAAACTTTTGAATCACATTTCCTTAAAAATCATAGGATTACTAGATCATCAAAAGAAACTGCAATGGGCTAGGGATATAGCTCAGTTGGTAGGGGGCTTGTCTTGTATACACAAGGCCCTGGGTTCAATCTCCAGCATCACAACAAACAAACAAACCTGCAAGCTGCAGGTGGTGGCACACACCAATAATCATACTATTTGGGAGGTTGAAGCAAGAGGATTACAAGCCTGGGCAATTTTGGAAGACCTTGTCTCAAATAAATAAATAAATAAAGGCAAGAATGTAAGCTCAGTGGTAAGGTGTCCTGGGTTCCATCTCCTCTACTTCGGCCAGGGCTAGGGAGAAGCTGAGTTAGATTTCATTCCAGACAGCTGGATCACTGTATATGCCTTTCTCCCGCCTCAATGACCCGATAGAGACATGTTATTATTAGAACACGAAATGTGCTGTGAAGAATAAAACTCCACAAACCAAAGTATCTAGAAACAAACAGTATTTTGTATCAGCTTTATGTAAGTCACTGTGATAACATAGGGAAAATAAAAAACACTTTCTTTTGCCAAAGTAAAATTTATTGTTACAAGTAGGGTGTGTCTTTTGGGGTCATAGTCCATTTATCTGGCTGTTTCATGGTGCCTGTTGGTCCCTGCACAGACTATCTAAGCACTGCTTTTATTATTAGTAAACAAGGAGATTAATACCCAAGTAAGACAACTGAACCAGCACCAGAACTAAGAGTTAAAGTAATCCAATAAAACTTGGCATTATTTCCTAGCATAGAGTACTTTCCCAATTTCCTGGGACATTGGAGTAGTATAAAGCAGTATAAAGATGGGTGTGTATAAGAGGAAACCAGTATAAACATATTCCCTCTAGGAGGTCATATGATATATGAAAAGGCATTTTCAATGACATTTAATTTTATATTTGGAAAAAGGAACCAAGCTTATATTAACATACAAAGTATAAAAAGCTCATGTTCTTTTTTCTATTTTTTAGTTTTAGATGAACACAATACCTTTATCTTATTTATCTTTATGTGGTGCTGAGGATCGAACCTGGTGCCTCATATGTGTGCTAGGCGAGTGCTCCACCACTGAATCACAACCACAGCTCCAAAAGTTCATATTCTTGCTGGGCACGATGGGACATGCCTGTAATCCCAGCTACTCAGGAGGTTGAGGCAGGGCTGCAGGTTCTAGGCTAGCCTCGCCAATTAGGTGAGATGCTGTTTCAAAATAAAAAAGGAAAATGGTTGGGGATGTAGCTCAGTGGTAAATTTCCAGTAACAACAACAACAAAAAGTTAATGTTCTTGTTTGGTGAAGATATATGTTTTCCGCTCTCTTCTTGGTGAATCTCATAGAGGGTTTATCAGAATATTTCAAGAATAATTTGTTTATCAAGAGGGGACACGAGTTTAAAAAATCTGAAAAACAATGACTTTCAGAGTTTATTAAATGCCACTGTGTTAGGTATCAAAGATAGAGATTTAAAAACAGCTACAACAAGAAACCCTTGTCCTTTTATAGTTCATAATCTAGTCAGAAACAGATGGACAAACAGCTAAAAACAACAATGGAAAGGTGATAATGGCTGATGTATAGTTAGGTATATGTTTACTTATTTAAGTACATGAGAAAAATAGGGATGAGAGATAGATGAATGAGTGAGGTAAACAGCTAAGATAATTTCTAATTATCATAATAAATTCACAGATGCACTACAGAACTGAGGGAAGCAGAAAATAACAGCTGAGTAAACACCTGAGAAGGAACACTTAGCTCAGAGTACTTAAATGTTTGGAAATCCAGCCTCATGCCAAGGCATGTAGCTCCCAGGTAGGCATGATTCAAGGATGGAGTCCGAAGAAGGCAATATATCAGAAAGAAGCAACAAAAGCCGGGCGTGGTGGCGCACGCCTGTAATCCCAATGGCTCAGGAGGCTGAGACAGAAGGATGGTGAGTTCAAAGCCAGCCTCAGCAATGGTGAAGTGCTAAGCAGCTCAATAAGACTCTGTCTCTAAATAAAATACAAAATAGATCTGGGGATGTGGCTCAGTTGTTGAATGTTCCTGAGCTCAATCTCCAGTACAAAAAAAAAAAAAAAAAAAAAAAAAAAAAAAAAAAAAAAGAAGCAACAGAGGTCCTAATATCCAGAGGCAAAATATGAAAAATAGTTAATAGTTAACAATTCTAAGGCCGGGTCCTTATTGGCACAAGGCATATTGCCCCTCTATCTTCTTACATTTTTTTTACACTGCTTTCTCTAGCTCAAATCTGCAGCTGTGAAACAACACTGAAAAGGAGGAAATAATATTCTTTTCTTTTATAGGCCAATAAATCCTAAATCTTTACCTTCTCAAGAGCCTATGAAGTAAAGAATGACATGTTTGGGCTGGGGTTGTGGCTCAGCTTGCCTAGCATGAATGAGGCACTGGGTTCGATCCTCAGCACCACAAAAAAAAAAAAAAAACAAAATAATGTGTCCATCTAAAACCAAAGATACATAAATAAATATTAAAAAATGACATTTTTGAAAAGGAAAAGCAAAAAGCAAAGAACATTTATAAAAACTATACTGTAATAAGATGGGCCCAGTGGTATACGCCTATAATCCCAGTGACTTGAGAGGTTGAGGCAGGAGGATCACAAGTTTGAGTCCAGCCTGTGTATCTTAGCAAAAACCTGTCTCAAAATAAAAAGTAAAAAGAGCTGGGGGATGAAGCTCAGAGGTAGAACACTCCACAGTATCACAAATAAGTAAATAAATAACTACTGTACTATAATAAAAGAAAATGAGTCATATCAAAGTGTTCTTAATTTCCATCAGCTGATTTACAAATTAAATTCTCTTTAAAAGAAAAAAGAATACTGGATGTTAGAGAAATTTCCTCAGCTAGAAGTTGAAGACAAAAAGAAAACTTTCAATACAGGGCGGCACAGCAGTTAGTTGTCATCACTACTGTGAACAATAAAATGAAATTTAGGGTTTTCCCAATGAAAAAATAGGCACAACTGGAATGTGCTTAACAACTTAAACTTAAAAAAATTTAAAAACTAAGAACTCTATTTTGCTTCTGAATTCTTTTTTTTTTTTAAGAGAGAGTGAGAGAGAAAGAGAGAGAGAGAATTTTTAAAATATTTATTGTTTAGTTTTCGGTGGACACAGCATCTTTATTTTTTTTATTTGTATGTGGTGCTGAGGATTGAACCCAGAGCCCCGAGCATGCCAGGTGAGCACGCTACCGCTTGAGCCACATCCCCAGCCCTTGCTTCCGAATTCTAAAGTTGATAATCCTTGGGACTTCAGAAAGCTACCAAATAATCATAAAATTCGAACTTGACATATTTAAAACTCTTGAAGACCAGTTTCCTAGGAACATGTCTCATCTAATAACAGATTCAACATAAGGCTTCAACTATCACACAGAGCTCACTACCTTAATGAGAACAAGTGGTTGGATGTAGTAACCTCTCTAATGTATAAACTTCTGATTTTGTTTCTCTCATTTCTAGGTCAAACAACAAAAAGTTTAAAACCATTTTAATTGTAACTCACAGGAGAGTAATCAGACTAATTAAATCATTTCAAGATTCTTGGGGCTGGGGTTGTGGCTCAATGGTAGAGCGCTTGCATAGCATGTGTGAGGCACTGGGTTCAATTCTCAGCACCATGTAAACAAATTAAATAAACAAAATAAAATTATTTAAAAAAAGATTCTTGATGTTTTGTGTATTTACCGAAATCTGTATTTTCAGAGTTGCCTACTGCTGTTCAAAGGTTCCTCTTGGTCCAATAGGCAGGACTAGGTCTCAGGGAATAAGAATTTGCAGAAAGAACCAGGTGCAATGGCAGACACCTATAATTCTAGCCACTCAGGAAGCTGAGGCAGGAGGATCGCCAGTCTTAGCAAATTGTCAATAAGAGTCTGACTCAAAATAAAGGTTTGGGGATATAGTTCAGAGGTCAAGTGCCCTTGGGTTCAATACCCAGTAACTGAGGGGGAAAAATTGCAGAGGACTTGTTCTGCACTTATTTCCAAACTAAATGTACCCACTTGCCTGTGTTAGCAAGTACGTTCGTCATGAAAAGAAGTCTACTACAGACCAACTAGAGACTTTCTAGGATTTTCTGCTTTCYCAACCCTCATATGCAAAATGTGACTAATATCTACTCTATTTACCTCAAAATGGCATTTGAGGATCAAATGTTAATTCCTTACATGCTCTGCAAACAAAAACAAAAGTGACTTTGTTAACTGGCACAAAATTTCCAGTGAAGTATTTATGAAAGAACATATTACACAGATTATAAGTATATTAAAAGAATGAATACATAAGAAAAAAAATCAGAAGGAAAAACACCAAAATGTTCAGAGTAGGCATGTTAGGATGGAAGAATTATGACTATTTATTTTCCAGTATTTCATTTAGCTTCCCAACTTTCAGTAATATAGTTATGTTACTTTAAACAAAGTGGAAAGTACCATCAAGAACCGTAGACTTTTATTCTTATCATTTATTTATTTGTAGTACTGGGGGTTGAACCCAGGAGGACTCAACCACTGAGTTATATCTCCAGCCCTTTAAAAAAATAATTTACTAAGTTGCTGAGGTTGGCCTTGAACTTTTCAATCTTCCTGCTTCTGTGTCCCAAGGAGCTGGCATGCACCACTTGGCCAGGCTAGAGAATCAGACTTTTTGAAATTAAATCTTAATTTCATATACAATAAAGAAATATATTTATTTTTAAAAAATATGATTACACATGGAGATCAGTTTTTGTTATCTAGATCTCTCTCTCTAGAAAAAAAACACCTATGTAATAGTTTTTAGCTTATTCTTGAAAGCTTTAGTGATGAATTTCTAGTTTGTGTCTTTTCTCCTCTCTACAGAATTAGCTCTACAAGGCAGAGAAGTAAACACATCTAGCAGGAAAAGTATGAAGGTACAGTCATATTTTCTATTAAAAACTCACTTAAATTTGCATTCAATTTCATAAAGCAGTATTTATTTTACAATAAAAATTAATGTGTTAAATTATAGGAGGTTAGGAAATGACAGGTTAAGTTCACCTTCTGACAGGCAACTGATAAAAAAATTTTGATACTGAGGGCTTGAAAAAGTGCTACTTCATATTTCTTTCCCACTAACAACAGAACAAGAAATTCCTATTCTTGGCTAGAAATATATGGCTAAGTCAATTTATATCCTGTTAATTTTCTAGATAAAATTACATAAAAATACACTAAAATTATCATAGAAAAATCCCATTTAATTATGGGAAAACAGACTATGACAATGAGTTTGGCATTTCTTTACAAGGTTTAATTTTGAAAATTACAATATACCTGAGGTTGACAAATGTAAATTTTTATGTAACTGTTAGGAAAAGTAATACTTTTTTAAATAAACAAATATTTGTTTTAGTTTTTGCTAGAATAACTTCAGATAAATCTCTAGTGCAATATAATTAATTCATCACTAGTTCCACTGTCATCTCTTTGCCTTCAGAAATTTGACTCCAAGTTGCTTTACATGAAAAAGAAAAGTTATGTTACTGCTAAGTCCATCATTACAATGCTTTTTACACAAGCACCTTCTCTGGAGTCATTTATTCTTTTTTTTTTAAATTAATATATATATTTTACTTGTAGATGGACACACCACCTTTATTTTACTTACTTTACTTATAATTTTTTTAGTTGTAGATGAACACAATATCCTTATTTATTTACATGTGGTGCTGAGAATTGAACCCAGTGCCTCACATATGCAAGGCAAGTGCTCCACCATGAGCCACACCCCTTATTTATTTTTATGCTGAGCATTGAACTCAGTGTCTCACATGTGCTAGGCAAGTGGTCTACCTCCGAGCTACAACCCTAGCCTGGAAGTCACTTTTTCTTGCTACAAAGTTTCTCCAAATATCTAACTTGGCTCTGGGTGTTTAGTAACATTAGGATATTTAAAAGACAAAATTGATTAATTCAATCAAGATTAAGCAATGTGAACTCTGAGGAAAAAAGCGTCACTGCAGTTTTCTACAACAAATTCACTCAAAATTTAGTCAAGAGGAAAAAAAAAAAGCACTTCAACTCTACGAGTTGTTTCAAGAGGTAATCCCTGTAAATGAAGTGAATAGTGTACAACACAGTAAAAACCTATTAACAATAATGATAGCTGGAATAGGAGTACACATTTATTCTTTTCTAAGTACCAAGCT